TCTATTGAATCTATTTGTAGATTTAGATTGATAGTTTCCAGATTGCTTACAAGTCTATTTACAGTCTATTTGTAGGTTTAGGTTGATAGTTTCCAGATTGCTTACGAGTCTATTTACAGTCTATTTGTAGGTTTAGGTTGATAGTTTCCAGATTGCTTACAAGTCTATTTACAGTCTATTGTAGTTTTAGGTTGATAGTTTCCAGATTGCTTACGAGTCTATTTACAGTCTATTTGTAGTTTATATACAGTTTACTTTGAAGTCTTTTGCACCTATCCACTACACCAATATACTGGGGTGGACAAAGAGTCGTCTGTAAACCTTCTGCCTCCTGTACTGTTTCTTGGATAGTTGGTGGTGTGTTGTGCGTGGATAGGTAGAATGCGTACAGCTGACAGAATAGGTTGTGTTGTCTGGGACTATTGCCCTACCCTTTAGCTCATACCCACAGGTTGAAAAAGGTTTAGGGTTAAGGTTATGTGTTGTTAGATGGGTGACATTAACTACACAGTATACTGATACCTACATTATGTGTTGTTGGATGGATGTCTTGTACTATCTACCCTGATCCACTGTCTCGGTATTCCTACCCCTTACGCCTACCCACAGGATGGGTGACTTGAACTACCGCATAGATGCGTCGTACGACTCTGTACGTGCGCTGATTGCGCAACAGAACTATGCGCATCTGTTCATCATGGACCAACTCAGAGCGCAGCGCACGAGTGAGTTGTCGTTTGTGGACTTTCACGAGGGCGTCATCCGCTTTGCGCCCACTTTCAAAGTCATCAAAGGCACCGTCGACTACGACGTCGAGGGACTGCGCGTGCCATCGGTCGGTGTCTCTCTCTGTCTCTCTGTGTGTGTATGTGTGTTTGTATGTATGTATGTATGTGTGTGTGTTTGTATGTATGTATGTATGTGTGTGTGTGTGTATGTATGTGTGTGTGTGTGTGTGTATGTATGTGTGTGTGTGTGTGTGTGTGTGTATGTGTGTGTGTGTGTGTGTGTGTACGTGTGTGTATGTATGTATGTGTGCGTATATACACAATAATGTGGCTGTGAAAGACGAGTAGATATCCACAATTTCTTTATCACGGGTCTTGAAGAAGCTGGAGCATTTGCAAGAGGCTGCTTCCTAGAATGTTGTCACCCCCTTGGCTCGTAACTCCACTTCTTTTTATTCATGTTCGAGAGTTTTAGCGGGCTCTTTACTGAAAAGCCAACCCCCGAAATAGTGTAATTTTTACAGATGTATGTACACTCTTGTACGGCATGTACATCACTCTTGAGTGGGCTCACTACGATAGCCGCCTAAACAAAGAAGATATGAACCCCGAGGCCCAGAGGCAGTGTCAGTACCGAAAAGCAAAAACCTTTTATGTACCGAACTGTCTTTCGAACCCAAAATCAACTATAGTAGAATTTTTGTTGTTGGGTTGTGTTCTGCTACAGATCTGACTAATGATGGCGCTGCGATTGTTGCTGTTTTGTATATAAATACCCGTGACAACAAGTTCATAAACAGCAGCGTTAAAGCGCACTCAGTACATATTCAACACCGGCAGTGCTCGATATGTAAATCATCATGTCGTGGTTTTCGAATGATTGGAAGGATATTGCCAACAAGGACTGGTCGAATCTGGCACAGAATGCTATGAACCAGGTATCACATTCCCCAAAACCTTAAGTCGGTGTTGTTTGTGTAAGTTTCGCCGTTGCCAAGGGAACGAAAATGTACTCCTTATACGTACGAGCCGCCAGGAGTGTACGTATATAAGTACATCGAGTTGTTTGCTTATAAGCTCGCTGCTCGATAATATACGGATTACAAAACTGGATGCAAATGTGCTTAGTACTTTACCTCAATATGGGTGTATTCATTCTAAGCAAACAGATAACGAATTGACACGAATGGAACATATATACCACAGATACAAACCAGGGTTCTTAAAACGTGTATAATTAGTACGCGCAAAAGAAATTCATGAAATCAGATAATATTTATTTGCGTATCAAAGCTATTTCCTACCTATCTTTGACATAATTGAAATGTGATAAAGCCGAAGCGCGATTCGTATTTAAAACATGTGGGTATATGAATACAGGTATAGATAGTATAAAATATTACGCCCTTATGTGTAGATTTGAACGTGAAAAAAATACATGACAATGATACAATTATGTGTGATTATATAT